TTGTTTTAATAAGAGTTTGCCTTCTGGTAAGATAAGATGGCCAAATATCCTATATATGGAAGTCTAGGAAACTCTTGCACAGACTATAAATTATATGTATCCAGTACCCTGGAATTTCTATCCTTGACATTTCTGGTTTTGTTGCCCCTTTGGGGGGCCCGAAGAGAGGATGCAGGCAGGGCTGAGTGGTGCAGTTTCCTCTCCACCCTACAATCAGAAATGGGCTGGCACAAAAGGAACCACAACCACAGGGCAGGGATCAGGGGGAGGTGAGTGAGACTGAGTCCGGCAAGTGCAGGGGAGGAGCCTGTCGTTACTGAAAATCTTGTATTTTGTTCACCACGGATTTCTAATTTTGCATTAATTTTCAGTTTTTTAAGATATTGTATTACCTAGTTTTTTGGCATCCACTTAAATGTTGCTCCCAAGGGGAGTGCCTCCCTTTCTCACCCTAGCCCTGGCCCTGCTCAAGCAGCACCTGAGCTCTGGGTTCCAGGAGATCTGTGGAGCCACTCTAGAGCACAACCTTTCCATTTACTGCCTCAGCTCTGATGGGCCAGGGAAGACTCCTCCGAGAACTACGTTCTCTCCCTCCACTTGCAAAAATGAAATAAAGGGCACAGAAAAGTGTCCTCTTTGTCCCACCGGGAACCAATAGGAGTGCCAGGAAACAGTTGTCATTGATAGACCTGACACTGGGATGTTTATCTGTCTTCAGGTGCTTCTTTGTATGGGGACAGGAACCATAACAAAGAAACTAATACTCTGAATGTGGACTTAGCAGGAGAAACAAGGAGCCAGAGTAACACAGTCACCCGAAAGTATGAAAAATCCCTCCAAAGCATGCTAAGTGAAATAAAAATGAGAGGCTTGATGTACATACATTGTCAATATGACAAAAAGCTCTTTTAAATCATGAAATGGGCAGGATTACATGTGGTAGAGCTAAACTAACACCAAGGGCACATTTCCATTCTTGAAGAGAACAAAATAATGCTTTCAATCTTATGGCTAAACTTCTCATCAGACTTGCTGATATCTGTATCCTTGTCTTTTCCCAAAACACATGCTTACAGTTCCTAGGCAGCGCCAGATGCTGGCCCCTCCATAAAGAACGCTGAGGCCCTGCTTTCTCTCTAGTGGTGGTTGACATGAGTAGAGTGGAGAAAGGGATTAAGGTTTACTGAGTAACTCTCTGGTGTCGATGCTTTCTGAAACGTTATCTTACTTGATGCCCCGGCAGCCCTGTAAGGGAGAGATTCTCACAGGATTAGGAGATATGGGGAAGAAGTTTTAGTTCTGACAGTTGCTACAGCTAGAACCATGAAGCCTCTCCTTGTCAAACTTTCCTCTGGGGGGACATGATAAGATGTAATGTTGCTACTCTGTCTTTTGTTTTAACAAGTCATTTCATCATAGGATTGTTTGGAAAGGTGACACACAGGGCCTTCAGTTTCAGTGTCCTGCATGGAAGTCAACTTTGGACTCTGCCATACTTTTTGGAAGTTGGAGGCTAAGCTATATGAGTAAAAGCTCTCAAAAGAAGAGAAAGTTAGGGACATCAATCTGATTAAAAAGCTTTCAGAGTTATCTGCTGACATTAGATGGATATTGATTTTTAGGCATTACCATGGATGTGTATCTATTTTATTCATTTTTATGCAGATTCGGTAGGGAAAAAATACCTAAATATATATTTAACTTCATAGGATCCCGAAGCACTTTGAGGATTTAAACTGATAAGCCAACCTCAAAGGGACTGATGCTTGCAACTAAAACACAGACACCTCTGGGGTGAAATGTGGCAACAGTTTGACAGGCATAGCAGTAGCTTAGGCCAGAAAGGATTTATCCAATTAAAATTATGGGATGAATTTTGGCTGGCAGAATGTAATTACCAGCCTTGGAAGGGATCCAGGATCCTGAGGTTAACACCCCTCCTCTTGCCAACAACCCTCCTACCTGCCAACACTCCGAGATGGGGAAGGCTGGATCTGACACAATCGCACATAATACTGTTGTGACATCTAAGTACAATGATGATGATGTGAGAAGCATCATGAACCTGATTTTTTTTTAACACTCATTATGTTACTTATTTTTATGCCACATTAGGCTAGAAACCAAATGTCCACATAAATGTTAATTTCGTCAAATCTGTGTTTAAAAAGTATAATTAGAAAATAAAAAATAGATTTAAAAATTAATTTATTCCGTCAAAGTAGTTATTTAGTGATTATTTCAGTTTAGGAACGAAATTGGATCAAAATGGTGACATTTAATCATTGCTACATAAAAAAAGTAGGTCCTGATTTTTTTGGAAGAGAAATGTGTTCTCAAAGTTCACTGGCCTAGAAAAAAGGGGAATGCTTACTGCCTGGTTCATCGTGGTTGTACTTTGGCTAAGTGGGCATGTGCAAGTACTGCTTTGTCCCGGGGTGGATCCCATTCATATTTACAAGCACCAGCCAACAGTATTTCTCAGGAGAGAATTTTCCAAAGGGGTGTGTGTGTGTGAGTGTGTGTGGAAACCAGAGAAAGGAGCCCCCTGCTGGTGTATAATCAATGGGTAATGACCTCATCATTAGATTCTAATGCCCTTTTAGAAAGTCATTCATTTACGAGAATTGTGGGGAGTCCCAAGATGAAGCAGAGCAAGCGAGGAGGCAATTCTAAAAAGAACGTTAAGCTTTCCCAGACGCAGGCACGGGGTCTGTGCAGGGGCCGGGGCCGGGGTCAGCGGGAGACTTGCAGAGCCGGCTCTGCAGGCGCTCCGCGGGGCTGGAGCGCGCCCAGGGCGCCGGGAGGCGGGGCCGGCACCGGGAGCTGCGTGCCCGTCACGCGCGGCGATTCCGGCTGGTTGTCATCCTAGCCTGCCGCCCTTCCGCGCGCGCAGATCTACTGCTTTGCAAACCGCGGAGCGGCCGCAGGTTCGAGGCGAGCCCGGAGCAGCATCGCCGCTGGCCACCCCTCACTCCCGGGCCCCGCTGCCTGCAGACCCCACTCCCGGCGGGCCTCGTGGGGCGGCCGGGGAGTCCCCTGGGGTCCTCGCCGAGTTCCTTGGGTTACCCTTCGGCCCACGCGGCCCTGGAGCACTCTACCTCGGAACCGGGGTGGGGCCGCGAAGAGGGGGTCCCAGCCGCGAGCACACGCTGCCGTCTCTTCCGAGAGGCTCTTCGCGACCTTAAAAGTGGTAACGGTGGTGCGTGCGCAGGAGGCAGGTGACTGGGCAGAACCGTCGCGGCCTGCTCCCCCCGCACGGGCCCTGCGGGTGCCTCCTGTGACGAGGCGGGCTTTTGGTCTGTCTCCGGAAGTAACCGAACGGTGATTGAAGGAATGGGGGGACTAGGATCCACTCTCCCAAAAGTGTTTGGAGGGCTTGCTCCGGGTCACATTATTAGAGGAGGGAGAGAAATTCTTACCCTTTTTGCTAACTAGCCCGACTGCTTTTCAAAAAAAAAGTACTGCCGCTAACTTCAGCTTTTGCTGTGAAGGTAGATTTTCCTAACACCATCTTTGTGTGATTTAGCTGTCCACAGGGAATCAAAATGCGAAATGAGAAGATGAAACTAATCCTTTCTTTTGCACTGTTAGGGGTTGCCATAAACACCATTTGTTAAAAAGCATAATTATGTTGGGAAAGTGCCTGATGAGACAATTAAGCTACATAAACACGGAAAACAAATGAAAGCCAGAAGACGCCCACACCCCTGTGTAAAGCAATTTTTTGTTTACATGAAAACCAGAGGTCTGAGCTGCTTTATTACAACAATGTTATTAATGTCTAGAAAAACCTGATGACCGTAGTTTTATGAATTTTTGATGAGGATGGTCACAATGTGAAAACCTGAGCTAACCATGAATCCTCCTCACTCCCTTTAGGTTAAGATGATTTGGCCAAGGAACAATCCTAGTGACCGGAAGCGCCGGATTTACTTATTCATGGAGCACTGTTATTTGCACCACAGGACGTTTAGCTTAAACTCATAAGCTTAAAAGTTTATCTCAGTGTTGGACACCATTTACTGCTTGGGAGAACATTACTTGACACAAAATGACCCTCATCAAATATTTGTTGAATAGATTCATGAGGGCTACATTTATGGTTAGGTATATTTAAAAGAGGCCAAAATATAATGGTCTGATCTTGAAAAAAGGAATTCTTATTATTTTGAGATATTTAAATTTCTTCAGTTCATGATATCATTTGAGGTATTGGAAAGATGATAAGTTGAAAAATGCCATTCTAGAGTACTAAGGAGAATCAAAGCAACCCCTAAAACATGTGTAATTAATCCATTTTCAACGAAAGACTCAGTCACATTTTTGGTGTTATTGAGTAACATATCACAGTACATGTCAACTTTCAGTTCAAGGTACAGAGTCCTTTGAAAAGATTTTAAATTGCTTTAGAAACTTTGGAGATCAAAGTACAAGAGGAGCTTAATCAAATAGTTGTCACTTAAAGCCCCGAAATGAGTCCCTCTATTTGTTCATATAATCCCTTGGCATGGCCCATAGAGATACCTCCCCCACCAAACCCCCCCTTTTTTTTGCCAAAGGAATACTTTTTAAAAGAATGAGCATATTAAAGAATCTCCCTCATTCTTCTGTTTTTGCATTTCCCCAGTAAGTCTCATTTAACAAAAGGATCATGCTTATTTGTTAAATAGTGCAGACCTGGAAAAAAGGGGTAAGCTAAGGAAGAGATGTTTAAAAAGGAAATAACACTAATGGAAAAGTTTCCCTTACCAGGCTGAATAACTTGAAGAATATTTTCTAGTATTGTTACTATGTGCATGACCACATATCATGGTTACCTGGTTGAGTCAGCCTGAGGATTTTATCATTTAGATGTTTTCTAGGAATGAAAGAGTGAAGTGTTAATATTTTGAGCGACTGGTTTCCAAAGAGCTATGATTTTTTTTATGGTTAATGAACATGAAAATATGAATGAACTATAGAGACCGAAATGAAGGCTCGTTTTTCTCCTATTCTAGAAAAAAATCAGCATGTCTTCCTCCAGACCGGGGCTCCGTTTGGCTGCCTGTTTACTAAACATTTCAGAAGCCAGAAGAAAACACATTGTTGAGAACATAGCAAACGCAGCTCTTGGAAAAAATGGTAGGAACAACAGACAACTGAAGTGGATATGTAGTATTTTGATAATACATTAATTTTTGTACTCTGCAGACGGTATCTGTAGGACACTTTTTCTTCCTAGATTTCTAACCTGGCTCTTGGGCTGTCATAGCTTCTGCAGGACTCCAGGATACTGAGATAGATCAGTTACTCAGATGTGCATATATGTTCTCCAAATGGAGGCGTACGGTCAGCAGTTTTTCACATTGGAGAGTGAGTGTCTGAAATGTCCACTGTTCAGGACATTTACAGGCTCCTGAGGAGGCTATAGTTACATAAAGGTTTAACGTTCCCCTCATGGGCTGTTCATTTGATCATTAATAGGATGAACATAATTGTACGTTATGCTTTTTATTCGGCAGGTTACATAAAAAAATAAACTTGCCAAATACCCACTACTTTTCAAAGCACTCCTGCCAGCAAAGCCCATGCTATCATTACAGCATTATTATTTCTACTCCATTTTCTCCATGTAAAGACTCAGGCAATTGCAGTTAAGTGATGTGCTTAAGATCACTTAGCAATTCAGAAGACTGGAATTCAAGCCTGCTTACTCCTTGGGCCAGTATTTACTATGAGAGATACTACTCTTTTTTTTTTTAATCCTTATTAAAATGTTCATGCAATGATACACAATTCTAGGTATCATTTGCTTTTACACACACACACACACACACACACACACACACACACCCAAGTATTTACAGACTCACAGTCGTTTAAATAGAAAAGCTTTGTTAAATCAAGTATTTGGCAACAGGTGAGCATTAGGACTATACCCTTAAAGCATTTCTGACAGTATATTTTAATTTCGGATTGTCATTTTTTATTTGGTTACTGTTTTTCATGAGAAAGGAGTGTTTCCCTTAGCCCATTTCTAACGATGAGCACATTTAAGTTACTGTCTTGCAACTTTGCAGGAGCTGGAAATGTCTATGGAAATTCTTGATAATTGCTGATAAGAAAACTCCTCTGGAGTCAGTGTACAGCTGTGCTTTTGCAGTCTCTTTGTGGGAAGAGTGCGCTTGGGCCCCTCATTGTCAGACACAGTACATGTAATGGGATTGGGTTACCTGTCTCTGTGATTAAGTGAATGTGCAGAGACATTTGTGGAAGCCACACTGATGGATGCCTGGGTCTCAGCTCACAGTTTTTATCAGCTTATTAGTGGCAGCAGCTCAAATGGAATTATAGCTATTATACCCCATTACAAATACCAAACAATTTACTTCTGCTGAGATTCAGAGTGACAGCTCCTCCTGCCAGCACTAATGTTTTTTTTCTATATGCATGCTTAAGAAATTGCAGGAGAAAGTGTTTCATTCTTTCAGCAGTTGATTTAATTGAATCATATGAAACTGAGAATAAAAGCTTTTCAGAAGAAGATTTAGGATGAAAAAATAAAATCATCTCTTTTCTTTGAGGAGCTAGAAGAAATACATCAAAAAGGAGGTTGCATGATCTTGTTCTTGCTTCATCTTTTATAGTTATGAGAGTGCAGGGAAGGTAGCACTGGTTAAGAAAATGACCTATTGTTTTACAGATACTTTAAAGGCATTTATTTTTAAGTCAGTGGAGTAAAACCATGTCACCTATATTTTTTCTAATTATGTAATATGAAAACATTTAAATGGCCTAAAATGTCTTCGGTAAGAAACCTGAGTTATAAATTTTAGACCTACACCAGGGCAAGGCTGTATAGATGCTCATTTGGCCGTGAGTGAGTGACATAAGTTTATCTTTTCATGTTGTTAAAATTAATAACATAGGGCTGCTGTAAGCTCTGTAGTTCCTGCATGTAACTTATTTTTCCTCTCTTCTGAAAAGATTAATTGTTAAGCTGCCAGGGGATAGAGGACAAAGGTATAATAGCATAGCAAAAGCTTTAATTACCGCCTGAAAACTTTTGTCTTTCACTTTGAATTTCCTTTTGTAGGCTTAAGGGGGACTTTTAAGGGGCCTGAACCAGGCTTGTAAACTTCAAAAATAACTTTGGGGTTATATGTGGCTGCCATACAGGGTATGGTAGATTTCTCCTTTAGGTTACACATTCAAGTGAGTCACAGGCCACCAAAAGCTGGAAGTCGTTAACATCTGAAGGCTGTTGGTGGCCTCTGAAAAGGAGATGGTGGAGTCAGAACGTTTCTAATAGACAGGTGCATGCATCCCAGAAACCGCTGCTTCAGGCATTAATTGGCCTATCCTAGTTTTTTCAGATGTCAGATTTTGATCCAGACAGTTTGATTTCTGGGGTTGGGAAGGGAAAACTGATACAGCCTAGAAAATGAGATTGATAACGAACGGAATTTAGAGTGATATGATTTGGCAATTGAAAGAAGAGGCTACCATCTTAGACTGAGTTAAAAAGACACCAAAGCCTAGTGTCTGAGCTAAGCCATCTGGTTATATAGGAAGGTGCTGTAAGAAGTGGACGTTACTACCCACAAATGTTATGATTTAGCCAATGTCACTTCAAAGGTCACATCCCAGAATTTTTCTGTTAAACTAAATTTAATTGTATCAGAAGAAATAAAGTGTTAAGATTTCATCACAGAAAAACAATTCTTGCATTTATGTTTGTTTTCTTTACAGGGCAGAAACACCCTGAAGTATCAGTGCTCAATATATTTTCTGATCAAGACTACAACAGATCAGTCATAACAATAGCAGCTTCTATTGATGTGTTAGGTAAGATTTATGTTTCTTTCTTTACATATAGGCCTTTTGATGAAGGGGAGACTTCAGGTAGGCCTCCGTGCTCTTTAATCATTGATTTCCTGTGTAAACCTGAATATTCCGTTACATGGTCTACCTCAAAACTGCATTTCATCATTTTTCTGAACATGCACATCTCAAACATACCCCATTTCCTCTTCATTGAAATGAACCTCGAGGTCCAATATTTAATAACAGTCTTTCCCGGAGGATTATCAGATAGGCTTTGTGGTTAAGAAAAGCATCTTCAAGTGTTAACCTGTGAAGTAATAATGTTGAAGTCAGCCTTGATTTCACTAAGTTGGCATAGAATGGAACATGCTAAGCAGTTGTATTTTGGGTTGGGAGTCTGAAATGTTGAGTTGGTTCATGGGTTGAAATGAAATAGGTTCCATGTCTCATGTAAGGTTTGATGGGACAACTTGAATTTGAAGGATCATAATTGTTTAAACAAAAACCTGTATTATCTTAATATTGCTGAGAAACTTTAATATTGCTTAAAGGGTTCAAAATATTTTCAAATAAACTTTATTTCAACTTAGCAGATTGTCTTTTTTCAGAAGGTGTGTTTGTTTGGAGACCGAATTGTTGACTGATAACTTCCAGCAAACACAGGACAAATTATCTTTAATGTTGATCGTTAAGATGTAAAGCCTGCTTTTTTGTTGTTTATCTGTCTTGTTAAAATGGTCATACAGTACTGCTAATGAAAACTCAGAGTAATAACATTAAACTCTTAGGTGTCTATAATAGTATTTAGTTATAACAATTGAATGAAAAATCTAGTTACTGGAAAGAGCAAAACTAAAATAAATACTTATGCTTTTAAAAATGTATGTTTGTTTGTATATTTTAATGTAAACTCATAAAACATTCTAAAAATAACAAGGAATTTTATCAGATTCATTTGATAAAATTGAAAAAATTAAAGTAACCAATTAAAAAAAATTATAAACATTGCATAATTCCTCCACTTTGGGGAATAAAGAACTGGAAGAACTGTGAAACTTTATGTCAGTTGGGAGGTGGGGCAAGGGGAAATGTTGGGTCTTTTATTTTTCTTTACTTTGGTTGAAAAAACAATCTTCTTATACAGATTACAAAAGAAAAACAACTAGTGGGACAATAAAATATAGCTGCTTCTTTAGCTGTGTTTGAAAGTTTAGTGATTGTTTTTTTTTTTACAATTTTACCTTTCTAAGGCAATTCTGTTCTGGCTGCCTGCTTGGAGGCCTTCCAGTCTATCGATATGCAGGTTCAGGAGGGAATCCATCCTTGCTTGGGAGCAGTGGACCTGGTTCCCATTTACCCTCTCACTGATGTTGGAGTGGAAGAGTGCGGAGCTGTGGCCAGAAGTAAGAGAAAGTTTGGGGTAGCGTGTTATCTCCTAATGGAAACCATTTTTACAAATCAGAACAGGTTGTGACAACATAGGTGCTCCTCCACTCCCTGGGTCAAGTTGATCTTAACCCTACCAGACCGCTGTACCGATTTTTTGGTAATTTCTAATCATATCTAATCATATCTGTGTTGTGTGCATGGAAAAGCACTCCAGGTACAACAAGCAAAATCCTGGAGTGCCTTATAAAGACAATCCATGCAAGAAGGTGAAGAGCAACATCTGGTGCTCACTTTGCAAGAAGTACCTCTGTGCGAAACAAGGCTCATCCTGCTGGGTGGATTGGCACACA